CATTCCCTCAATTGCAAAGGTAGAGCGCACAGTGGGACAAAAAAGGTAACAGTGGACAAGTCAATTTTTAGAGCCCAAGTATGAAATACTTTTATGTTTCTATTTTTTTTAAATGAGAGATCTGTCCGTGGCGATTTTTTAGAAAAGCAATAGTTTGCTAATTATTTATGTTGAAAAATGAAAGAAAAAAAATTTTTTCGTTTGAATGCTTCCACTTTTTTGAAAAATACTTCAAATTAATTTTAAATGTCTGCACGCTTGTTTATGAAGTTCCAGCTTAACGCTAAATTTGACTGTAAACAAAGTGAATAACAAAAGCGTTTTGACTAAATAGATTATGTATATACATAGTGAATAACTCAGTGTGAGGGCAGGACCAGGAGAATGTATTTGCATAAAAATTTATTAAAGCAAAAATGTTTCGGGTAGGCGTCGGAGCCAATGATAACCATCAGTTACCACCTCTGCATGGTTGTAAGTCATGCAGAGTCCCTACGGCTTGTAGCGCTGTGGCTTTGCCGCTTAAACTCTGTAAGAGTTTTTGGGGGTGTGCGTCTATGAATAATGGCGGTGGCTGAAATAAAAAGTGTTACACCATGTTACAGTTTTGCTCGTCACTGTAAATATTGCGCAATACTCAGAGCTACCATTGTGATTTTTTTAAATTTTTTTTTTTGAAATGGAATATTTTCAAAAAAGAAATTTATTACTTCTTTTTATAGAGAATTTTGATGTGTGTATGTGTGAATTCAAGCTCAAATTTCATATTTATGTATTATTTATGTTTGTCCATCAACCCTAACAATTTTAAATACAGTGAAACCCGCTTAAGTACCCCCCCGCTTAAGTATCCAACATTTTGGACACCATGCATTTTTTAATGTATTCTGAAGAAAATCCCTCTCTTAAATACCTCCAAGCTTATGTACCCAACCCGCCTTAGTACCTCAATTTTTCATGCCCCATTTACAATTTTACTTATAATTTTTCCCTTTTAAGTGCTCTTTTAAAATTCCTTAAAATATTTATGTATTTTGAAATTCAGTAGCAGCGCCACACACCTTCGGTAAACAAATTCTAAAAAATCAACGGTAACTTTTAGCCATGATAAAAACATAGCAAGGTAGAACCGTTCTCTCAATTTGTCGGCCATGATTTTTTTTTTGATGTTTCCCAACATTTTAAAATCATATAAAAGTGAAAATAAAAAATTGAAATTGTTCGAAATTGTTGTTGCTTGAGATTGAAAATGAAAATGTGTGTGTGAGTTTGTGAGTAAATTTAAAAATTAAATTGTTTGGAAACGTCAAGAATTTTAAAAGTGACTCTCAGCGGTTCTAACTTACTATATTTTTATCATGCTTTTAGCCACTTGAAGCTTGCACATTATTACACTAAAATTGAATGGGCTAAAAAACTTTATACTCAAAAAACACTTCTGGAAAAATAGTTTGAAATTATGATGATTTTTTAAGTGTTCTACAAAATCTTAAGCTTAGGTTTATATGGTATTTGTTAGGGAATGAACTGCATTTTAATTGATTGGAAAATCTTAAAAATTAATAAATAAACATAAGTGGCAAACAATATTATTGTGAATTTGGTACAAAATGATATGTCCAACTTTGACTTTTTAAACAATTTAAGTCTTGTAAAAATGATATGCCATTGTACTAAATATTTTGTTAATAAAGTTTTTCTTTACATGTTTATGTATTTACATAATGCTACGATTTTGGTTTTAAACTATTAAATGTTATTATTCAAGTATTTATGTAAGTTAACAAGAAGATGTAACTACATCAGTATTATGTCCACTTAAGTATCCGCCTCGAGGTACTTAAGCGGGCTCTTTTAAGTACCCAACCCGCCAAAGTACCATAAAAAGCTGACATTTTTCGTGAGGTACTTAAGCGGGTTTTACTGTAAATCAAACACATGAAGTATAAACCCCACCCATTTTGGTATGAAACGCGCCTTATATAATACGCGAAGGCATTTTTGTTCGCTCGATTTTCAAATTATTGAAATTGAGTTGCCACCTTTAGAAACTTATATTTAATTTATTAAAAAAAATGAATAAATCAATTATTACAAAATGGGTATCAACCGAAATGGTTATGAAAAGTGTTGTTTCTTAGCTGAACTATAGGAGGGTTGCCACCTGTTTAACAAATCGCATTAGGTAAGAAAGTATCAAATATCAAAATATTAAACTTCAAACAAACTTCTAATTCTTTAATTAAAATTGTAGTTTGAATTTTTAATTAAGATCGTTGACATTTTTTATCAGTGATGGAAAAGTAGGCACCATAGTTGATGGAAAGAGTTAATAGGTTTGTTCCACACGAGCCCGCTGGTAGCCGCGGGTGCCCAAAATAGCCCAAAAAGCATTTCTTATGCTAGAAAAATACGAATACGTTCAATTTTTGGATCGTAAATGTCTTCTTCTTTGTGCACGAAACAGCCCGGACTTTTTTCCGGGCACAAATGCGCAAAAAGGCAATTTGGAATAACAGCTGTTAAAATCCGAAAGCAAATTTTATAAAAAAAGTGGAAAATATCACAGAATTTTCAGAAAATGTAGTTATTTGGAAATTTTATTAGCCATATAAGATAACTACACCCAAAATCATTGTATAGAGCTGATATGTTGATTCCGGGCACGAAATGTCGTTTTTGCGTTCCTCAAGTTTTGGACACTTTTGGCACGTGTTGGCACATTTTGGAAATTAAATGAGCTTCGGCTGTAAGCGGTTATCCAATGCACAGCATTACATACGTAGAATTATGTTGGTTTTTTGATTTCCACGTAAAAATGGTATAGCCGTGCATGCAAAAATGTCACCTGTCATTAGGTAAAGCCGTTCTCTCAGTTCGTCGGCCATGATTTTTTTTTGAAGTTTGTCAACATTTTAAAATCATATAAAATTGAGAGTAAAAAAGGAATTGTTCAAAGTTGTTGTTGTTTGAGATTGAAAATGAGAATGTGTGTGTGAGTTTTTGTGTAAAATTTTAAAACTAAATTGTTTGCAAACGTCAAGAATTTGAAAAATTCCTCTCAGCGGTTTTACCTTCCTATTTTTTTATGACGATTCTAAACCCTTCTATTGCAGAATCTAGCCTCAAAAAAGTTCACCTGGCCACACTGATGTGAATACCATAACTATGTCCATTTTAGGGTTAAATGTAAAATCAAGTGTACATAACTTTAGTTTAGTGATTTTCACCACGGGACATCACCAACAAACCCGGAATGTCAAAGGGCGTACGACATTTGACCGTGCTTGTTTACAAACTTTAAATTACAAAATTTAAATTAGATCAGAAAAGTTTTAAATAAATAGTAAAAAGTGTTGGGAGAAAGTGGTAAATATTTCACTCAGTTAAATTATAAAATTAACAAAGCATACCAAGCAGCAGAAATGAATTTTCTTCACAGTAAAAAGAAACGGGCCACAGCGCCCATACAGCTATTGCTTGTTAATTTATTAAAACTTGAGATGTAATGCTTAATTTGTGTCCGTATGCATGTATGCGTTGTATTGATTGAATAAATGGTTCATTGTGTACGCAAGAACATCTCAAAAACTTTGTTTATAAATCTAATTTGCAAGCGAAATTAATTCAACCTGCTAACACATATTCAACACACCACCATTTGTTTGGTATGTTGAAAATGTGCACGTATGTGTGTGGTGCACTACATGGTTGCATTGTGGAGTTATATTAATAGAAAACCTTTAAATGCACTTTATCCTAATTTTCTTAAAACCATTAAATAAAAAGTCGTTGCAGTATATATACAACGTGTGTAACGTTAAATTTCAGAAAATATGGATTTTAATGAAAAAGTGGAACAACTTACCAATGAAACGGCAGCATTGCGGCAAGAAGTAGCTCAGCTGAAAGGTAAAATATATAAATTTTGAAATGTTTATCTGCACTGTCTTTTATCTAATGTTTTAATTTTATTAAGAATCGCTTACAAAGCAGAATACTGTCATTGTAAAGCTAATAAAGGAACAATGCAACCTACTTCGAACACAAGAAAAGCGCATGCAGGAAAAATTGGATCAGCCACCGGTGAGCGCAAGACCATTTGTAACTATGTTCCCGATAAATTCACAGGAGGAATTAGAGTCAGTCGAAAAAACTTTATCGGAAGACAACAAAAATGAATACGTAAGCAAGACATGGTAAGATTACTCCGTTACACGGCAATTAATCATTCTTATATAACAATAGATCGCAGTTGCTAAGGCCCTATTGACCCCGGGAAGTTTTAAAAAGAATCTCAATAAAATATTGGGAGTGGA